ACTTCTGTGTGAACGGCACCATCCCCACCAGAACAGTGAGATGGTTCCCGAATAACAAACCCTGGATCGCCAGTGACCGAAAGAAACTTTTAAACAAGTAAAAAAAAAAAAAAGAGCCTTTAGGGAACAAGACAAGGAGCAATTGAGAAGTCTACAGAAAGAGCTCAATGTCAAGATTAGAGACAACAAGGAGAAGTACAGGAAGAGGCTGGAGAATAAACTGCAGAAGGAACAATATCAGAGATGTGGTCAGGGATGAAGAAGGTTACAGGCCTCAATTAAAAGGAGGATCAGACGGATGGAAGTAGGGACAGAGCAAATGAGCTCTGTTCAACAGGTTCAGCTCAAGAACAAGCTCATCATTCTCTTCTCCTGACCCCAGACAGACATCCCACCCTGTGTAGGATTCTGCAGCATCTCTTCAAACTGTCGTGGAAGACATCCTCCTGGTCCCAATACCAAAGAAAACTCATCCATCAGTCATCAACAACTGCAGGCCTGTTGCCCTGACATCCCACAACATGAAGGTCCTAGAAAGAATCCTGTTGGCCCACCTGAGTAAGAAGACAAGCTCATATCAAGACCCTCTGCAGTTTGCTTATCAAAATATAGTTGGAGTTGATGATGCTATCATACACCTGCTTCAACAAACTGTCTTCTGGACAAAGCAGGCAGCGCTGTTGGCAGTTCCTCTGGGGGGAACCTCAGATGTATAATACAATACACTCCAATTTAGTTGACCATGTTACGATAAAACGTATCTAAGAAAGCTCAGCAGATTGCCGTTGATTATTAATTTTTGGATGATTTCCTCATCCAGAGGAAGCATATTGTGCCAGTAGGGAGAAACATCTCTCTAACAGTGCTCGGTATGAGTGGTGGTCTCCAGCACGTAGAAACACTATGGAGGTTGTCTCACAATTGATTTCCCTGTTTTTCCCATTCCTCAGGTTTTGAAGACTACAACTGAGGCACTGATAGAAGTTAACATCAGTAAGAACCTGGTTGGCTCTGCCATGGCAGGTAGCATTGGTGGATTTAATGCACATGCTGCCAACTTGGTGGCTGCCATCTACATAGCCTGCGGGCAGGTAAGGAGGTTCTTTTTAATCATTGCTTGTTAATTTATTTTATTACATTTCAGCATTAAACATGTCTCTCAATGTGTGTTTATCAGGATCCGGCCCAGTCAGTAAGCAGCAGTAACTGCATTACTCTCATGGAGCCATCAGGGCCAACAGGGAAGGACCTGTACATCAGCTGTACTATGCCCTCTATAGAGGTGGGCACTGTGGGAGGAGGCACCAACCTGCCCCCTCAACAAGCCTGCCTCAAGGTACACGCAGCACACCTGTAAACCTGTTTCAGTAACTCATAGTAAAGCTGAGTTGGCAAACAACATGCCTGAATATTATTGTTTCCTTTGTAGAGTTTAACCAAGTACAGCTGGTTATGTTAGGCCTAACGGTTGCACTGAACTTGATCAGTTTATCAACATATGGTAAAGTATTTAGATTACTGTATTTACAGCTCTCCGGCTGTCAGCCGAGCTGGTTAAACACCAGCCTGTTAAAACACCAATTTTAACAGGATTCCTGTAGCTCCATAAACACACTGTTCTTCTAAGTTACCTTTAAAGTTTCACAGATTCAAATGAGAAATTATTATATGGGGCAGTTTTAGTTATGTTTATTTTACTGTTCCTTAATCATATTGTTGGATAAACAAGAAATCATTTTTAATTTGGCAAATAAATTTTTCTTATTCCCAATAATAAACAAATAAATCTCCTGACAAAGGCTGTGTTCACGCTGCATCTTAAAGTGGCCCAAGTCTGATTTTTTTTTTTTTTTTTCCTTTATGCGACCTGTATCTGATCTTTTCATGACAGTTTGAACAACACAGATGTTGTTTTTTTTCCTAATGCGATCTAGGCCACTTGGATATGTGGTTTTAAATCCAATATGTATCCAATCTTTTCTGATATGACCTGTGTGTACAGCCAGGTCGCATTCATCCAACCTGAACGTCATTGATGATTGATACAGAAGCTAGAAGAAAAATCACCAACATGCTGGACGATAATGAGGATTAAGTTAATGTGCTGGCTCCACTTGGGCAACAACTTTAACACACAAGGCTCTGGTCCCCACAAGTGCTGTTTTTGGGCTAGAGGTTAGATTTAGAACGTAAAGTTTGAATTCAATCAATCTTTATTGTCGTTGTAGTAATAAAAATTACACGGATTATAATTTGGTGATAAATGGTACTAGGTGGCATTTAATGCCCTTATGGCTACTGGGTATCTGCAGCCAGATGGCAGCAGTTGGAATAAATTGTGTCCAGGGTGTAAGGAGTCTTTTAAAATGTTCCTGGCTTTCCTGAGGCAGTGGGACCTGTGGAGTACTTAAAGAGAAGGCAGAGAGCAGCCGATGGTCTTCTAGGCAGATTTAATGATTCTCTGGAGAGTCTTCCTTTGAGCTGCTGTGCAGCTGGAGAACCACACACAGACAACAGCAGATGATGTTCTTAAAAGAGCATCAACAGGACACCAGCAGTTTTTAGAGAAATATTGTTTCTCTCTGCTGGACCTTCTTTGCCAGTTCTGCTGTGTTTACATCAGAGGCCAGGTTATCCATGATATGAACTCCCAGATAACGGACGTTTGACACCCTCTCCACCAGTTCTCCGCAGATGTATAGTGGTTGAATGACTCTTACTTCTCCTAAAAATCCACTATAATCTCCTTGGTTTTGCCTGTATAAAGGATCAAGTTGTCTGTCCACCACGCTATAAGTCACTCCACCTCGTTCCTGTAGGCAGGCTCATCTCCCCCTGAGATGAGACCCACTACAGTTGTGTGGTCTCGAAATACAATCGTGTGTACAGCGTGAAGAGCAGAGGGCTCAGCACACTTCCCTGAGAGTCGGTGCTGATGCTGATAACTGAAGAGGTATGCAGGCCCACTCTGACTCTTTGTTTGTGATCTGTCATGAAGTCCTTAATCCAGCAACAGGTGGAAGAGGGGATTCCCAGGTCTGCCAGTTTACACACTAATATGTCATGGAGGATGGTATTGAAAGCCAAGTTAAAATTAGTGAAGAGGATTTGTGCGTAGCGTTCCAGGTGGGACAAGACAGCATGCAGGACAGTGGCAACAACATCTTCAGTTAACCTGTTAACTCTATAAGCAAACTGGTGCATATCAAAGGTGTGAGGAATGAACCCCAAGATGTGACTCTTAACCAGTCTTTCGAAACATTTCATCACCAATGGGGTGAAAGCCACTAGTCGGTAGTCATTCAGCCAGGTGATCTGTGATGTGATTTATTATTTTTTTTTTAGGAATGGGAATGATGGTGGAGATGGGCATGATGGGACTCTGGCCTGAGACAGGGACAGATGTTAAGATCTTTAGTAAATACCCTATCCAGCTGTTCTGCACAGTACCTCAGCACACATCCAGGAGCACCATCAGATCCTGCTGCCTTTCTGGGATGGACAGAGTATAGCGAGCGTCTCACCTCACTTCATATTCCTCCACCTTGAGGATAAAGTTGCTTAACTGCACTACTGCATTCAGAACAGCCGTAACTGGAGGCTTCGACCCGAAACGAGTAAAGAAGTGGTTCAACATCTCCACGTCAGTTGCTCCATTGCAGCTGAAGCTGTAGTTGATGTGCTGGATTCCCACCCAAACCTGCCTGCTGTTATTGCCTGGGTGCTCCTTCATCCTCCTCTTGTAATCTCTTTTAGCCTTTCTGATTCCTCTCTTTTGGTCACTCCATGCAAGCTGCATTGAATTGAGTTCATGTAAAGTTTAGGGTTAAGTATATACTGGTAATGGTTCGGTTTAGTTGGGGTTAGGCGATAGAAATGAATGGCAGTCGGATAAAGAAGCATAACGTGTGCGTATATTTGTTCAGATGCTGGGAGTCCAGGGTGCCAGTCAGCAGTACCCAGGGGAGAATGCCTGCCAGTTGGCCAGGATTGTATGTGCCACAGTGCTGGCTGGAGAGCTCTCACTGCTGAGTGCTCTGGCTGCTGGGCACCTTGTCAAGAGTCACATGACTCATAACAGGTAAGAG